TAACAAAAGAACAAAAAGATTACAACTTTCTTGATAATAACACGCAAAGATCCGTTTATCGCTCTTGCTTGCGTGGCGTTCTTCGGGGGCGCGTGCCGGGGTTAATGCCGTGGACGACCTCGAATCAAGATCCGGTTGCGCAGGAAATTGGCAAGAGCTTCCTACGCTCACCAAGGGGTATTTGGCTTGAAGTCGCTGAATCGAACAAATTTGAATTCATTTGTAACGCTTAAAGTTTAATGAAATCAATGACTAAGGTGACTTTCGACGGAAACACCACTTGCTGCAAAATGCTAGATGCAAACAAACAATTGCATGTATTATGAAAAAAAATACCACATTTATCTTTGCCTTGCTTACTTCCTAATATTAGTAAGCACAATCGATTGAAGAAAGCATTTTTTTCTCACCCTTCTAATCAAATTCATATTATCAATTTTCAGGGCTCCATAAGCAGCAAGGATGGTACTTAACCTCTCCGATGAAGATAATGCTGTTTCGCTTACTTCTCTTAGTGATCTCCTAAACAGACCATTAAAGAAATTATCTATAACTTGTATATCAGTGACTTTTGGTGTTTGGCATTGTGATGATAGGAATTAAGATAGATTTTATCCATAGCAGCAAGCATTTCTCCTTTTTAAAAGAAGTACCTGGTGAATTTCACAGTGAATTTGGCTCGAACAATAGAAATCTCTTGTGGTGGGCATTTTTAACATCTTTGTGTACAACTGGCAGTTTTGTTTTCAATGAACTTTATAGTGAATTTAGCTAAATGGTTCGCTTGTGATTTTGGTAAATAGTTAATGATGAAGTCAACAACAATAATGTAATTAAATTATTTTGGCATCCAAAAATATTGGATTAAATATGAGACAAATACGATGTTTTCCTTTATCAGACGTTGAATTTAGATATACTCCACAAGAAAAAGATTAAGAGAACACATCATATACTTTGTTCTCATGTTTAGTCTCAGTTTTTGGATTTACAGGAAGTGTTGATAATGTTGTAGGTGGTCTGTGGCAAACATGGCTCTGCCCAAATGTAGATGTCTCTAATATCCTCCAAATAATAAATCATCAAAACTTTAGCCTTAAATGACTGTCAAACTTACTTATCATTTATTTTTTAAGTGTCTGTGTTTATTTATGGCATGAAACAACCCGCAGCATGGGTCTATCTTATTAATACATTATAAAAAACTTCACTTGAATCATTTACTTCCTTTTTACCGACAAAAGCCCGTACTCGATAAAATATATTATTCCGAGCACGAGTTTTTTAGTCAAAACGCATCTTGTCTTTATCACGAGTTATTTCCCTTGGTTAACGCTACTTGTAGTTTTGCCAATATTCGCAGGTTCTTCAATTTTCTTTCTCCCTCATAAGGGGAATAAGGTATTTAGGTGGTATACTATATGTATATGCTTATTAGAACTCCTTCTAACAACCTATGTGTTCTGTTATCATTTCCAATTGGACGATCCATTAATTCAATTGGAGGAGGATTTTAAATGGATAAATATTTTTGATTTTCATTGGAGACGGGGGATCGATGGACTTTCCATGGGATCCATTTTATTGATAGGATTTATCACTACTTTAGCTACTTTAGCAGCTTGACATGTTACTCGAAATTCATGATTATTCTATTTCCTTAGCAATGTACAGTGGTCAAATAGGATTATTTTCTTCTCGAGATCTTTTACTTCTTTTCCTTATGTGGGAGTGTTTACTTACTTTTATCAGGGGGGGGGGGGGGTACACTGCGGGGGGTTCCATTTTTCTCTTAATAGGGGTTCTAGGTATGGGTTTATATGGTTCCAATGAACCAACATTGGATTTTGAAAGATTAGCTCATCAGTCATATCCTGTGGCATTAGAAATAATATTCTATTTGGGCTTCCTTATTGCTTATGCTGTCAAATTGCCGATTATACCCCTACATACATGGCTACCAGATACCCATGGAGAAGCACATTACAGTACATGTATGCTTCTAGCTAGAATCTTATTAAAAATGGGAGCATATGGATTGATTCAGATCAATATGGAATTATTACTGCACGCCCACTCTATATTTTCTCCCTGGTTGGTGATAGTAGAGACAATGCAAATAATCTATGCGAAGAATAGCCTATTCTTCTGTATCTCAAATAAAGTTTTTTTAAGATATTAAATCTCTAAAATTGCTCAATAATCTCTCAAATCCTAATAAGGGTCAGAGCTGGTCCCCAAATGACTCGGATAGGCGCTGAGGGTTGGGCGTTTAGAGGTTGGTTATGTAATTTTCGCAACTGCGGGGGGCCAATGTGTAAACGCTGCCCAAAACACAGGATTGCTTGTTTATAAAAGCATAGCAGCGGCTGTGATAGGATTCGTAGGAGAGGGAGAGATCGAATTGGGGTTGTTAGGGTTTGGTTAGGGTTTGGTTAGAGGATGTCGACGGCGGGGGCGACGGATGAAGTGCCCGAGTCTCCGGCGAAGAAGCCGAAGTTGACGTCAGATCAGGAGTCGACGTCAGAGGAGTCGACGTCAGATGAGTCGGAGGAAGATGATGACTGTTTTTTCGGGGTCGACGGTCGGTCAGATGAGTCGGAGGAAGATGTTGACGATTATTACGGGAATGGTCTCCACAGGATGACCGACCAAGAGCGGGCCATATACAAGGAAGCTATTCGTCTCAGCGATGTAAAGCCCCCCGGCCGCTAACCCTAAAAATAATTCATTAATTATTTGTGTTTTAATTATTTTAATTTATTATTCTTCATCTTTCTCAATCATTTCTTTCCCCTCTAACTAGGGATTTGATGTTCCTCGGTTACCCAAAGTATTTTCTTTCAGTCTCATCCGACCGGCTGGCAGGCGTTGGCCCGCTGAGGATATTCGTGAACACGCCGACTTCGCCATCAAAGAACAAAACGAGAAGAGAAAGACAGAGGTCTGCTTCTTGCATTCTTCTTCCTCCTCCTCCTCCTCCGCTTTAGAACATCGTCATTACAAACTTATTACTATTCTCACAGGGTGGCAATCAACTCCGTTCCTCCTCCGCTTTAGAACATCGTCATTACAAACTTATTACTATTCTCACAGGGTGGCAATCAACTCCGTCTCAAGGAGGTCATCAAGTGTAATTTGCGCAAACTTATTACTATTCTCACAGGGTGGCAATCAACTCCGTCTCAAGGAGGTCATCAAGTGTAATTTGCAGGTTGCTTGCCCCGTCAACTATTACATAACTTTACAGGCCGAAGATGTCATCACCGGCTACGTCGATGAATACGAAGCCTTGGTGATGGCTCGTTGCGGAAAGCAGAAAGACGAGCTCCATATCTTTAGGAAGAAAAACAAACCGGCTATTATTAATCCGCCAGCGTCCACAGAGGTATGATCAAACCGATCCCTTTGTACAAAATTTTGACAAAACGAAAGCGAACTGATTATGATTCGAAGTGAACCGATCTGACCTAAATACTTTTGGTTAATTCGGTTTGGTTCATCTGGTTTTGGACTAAAATCAATATAAATATCGATGACGTGAAGTGTTATTTATATTGGAAGGTTCTATTTGTATTGCTTAATTTTGGGAATGTAGTCCGAAGTGAATACAATGGTTAAAGTGTTTACCAGGACTCTTAGACTTGAACTTTTTACTATTGCGTTCAATTGCTAATTCATGTAATGGTTTACACTTGGTTCCTCCAAGCCTAACCACTTCAAAAAGTTGCACAAGTTATGAACTAAAGTCACCAAGCCTAATTCATGTTGAATCTTTGATAAAAAAGATGACCTCAATTTATTTATGAGATAAACTACCGTAATAACATCTACATAAGCATTAGGAATAGGGGTGGATTTTTTTTCCCGATCAACAGGAATAGACATGGATTTTAGTTTGAAGTATTTTATCTGGTGCAAATAAGTTCGGTCCGTTTGTTTATTCGATGTAAGCCAAACTTTGCTCACCCTTAGTCTTGGCCACAACCTCCTAGGATCCTAACGGCCTCAAGAGACAATGCTGACGACAACAAACTTCAAAGGCACTGGTGAGGTGACCGAACTTCGACGAGGCCACAATCTTCGAAAATCCAGCCACTCGATTCTCTTTCTCTCTAGTATCTATCCCTGAAAGGTTACCTATTTATTTTTGTTAAATCTGGTCTATTTGTGTTGTTATTGCATTAGACATTCTGCCTTTGACTCAATAACGTTGGCTTTTTCTCTGATGAATTCGTTTTTTAAAGGTTTCTTACGACAATTTGTTTTCCTTTTTTTGACTGATTTATTTGGGTAGGTTTGTTATGGAGATGTGCTTATGAAGATTGACTGTGCATTTAATTTTTGTTGTCATTTTTCTGACTGCAGAGTTCTGAACAAAATGCTATTGCTGAGATTTGTTATGCCAAGGCTTGTTATGTTAGTCAAAGGTTTAATTTAATTTGAATTTTTTAGCCGAGGAAAAGTCAAATAGTTTTCGTTTCAAAATGTTAATTCTTTTTCCAATATATATTTGAGCAGTAAAAGCTCTTATAGGATGGAAAAACACTAGTTATGGACCCTTACTTGAGTTGTAACCGATGTTTCTTTAAGTTAAGCGATGTTTGAATTGTGGTGAATATGTGATAGTTTAAATGCTTAATTTCTATTTCTACAATCTTATTGATGCATGTTAAATCATATTTTGCAGCATGGACCAAGTGACTCAGATTGTGCAGTTGAGGACCCAGGCAAAAGTTGTGAGACATGTAGTTGGGACCGAGGGGAAACAAAAAGGAGGAGACTATGAAGGACGATAAAAGGGATTTTGAGTTATGGTTTTTTTTAGTAGGTTCATGTTGATATCTTATTTTTGGCTTGTTGAACAGTCTAGTTATATTGTATCTGTGGCATGTTATCTTTTAAATGAAGGCTTGTGGTGAATCCGTGACCTTCTTCTGTAGATTTTATGGTAGAACTCTTTTGTATTGTCGGACTATGTAAGAAAGATCGTGTCTAGTTATGTTGAATGCTGAAGGGATGAAAAACCTATGATTTTCCAAGTTGTGGCTTACTTATTTCATGTGTGGCATTTGGGTGTTTGATAGTGTGACTAAGATAATGGTTTGCTAATTCCAACACTCGCCTGTAGGGGTAAGGTTCACATAAATAGCAACCTTGGTTGTGTGTTTTTGGTTGATGAACGTTTCACAGATCCAATCAACTAGTGAATAATATCAAACATTATCATCTTCTGCAAGACCATGTGTGGTATGCATACCATATGATACTGAGATGCTATGAAGCAAGAAATTCCAATAAACTGCAGAACCGGTATATCATGGATACAACGGAACACCCCCACAGACAATTTAAATGAGGAATAAGTTTGCTATAACTCCCGTCATGATAGGATTGCAAAAATTTCTTCCTACTCTATGATTTCATTAAGGTGCGCGAGAAAGTCCTAACAAAATTTACTGTGATGTGAAAATTTTTATTTCTCCCACTATTAAGCCCACTTTTGTAAACAACAGTCTGAAGCAAAAGAAAATAATACAGTAGGAGAAAAAGATAAATTGATTTAAAGATATAATCAACATAAAATGACTCAAAAGTCAGTCTCAGATACATGTAGCAAAGCCTTAAGCTGAAACTGAGTACTAAAAATAATAATAATTATTATTATTTACCTTCATTGCCTTGTCTCTGGTACTATAATCTGGAAAACTTGATGCGGCATTGACCTAAATTCCTACAAAAACCATGATAAAGATCAATAATGCATGTAAAATAAAAAATTTAACATTGCAAATCAAACTTCAGAGTTTACCTTAATAACAGCTGATAATCTCGATTACTCTGGATCTGCTTTTTCTCCTCACTTTCTAGACAAGGACTAGAAGCTTAGGGGGTGTTTGGTTCGCTAGTGGGCAAGAATAGGATTAGAAATCCGGTTTTTTATGGATTCCCCGGATTCCTATCTATTCCATAAAAAATTTTAAGACAAGTTTATATATTCATGGAATCCTTTTTTTCTTTCTATGTTTGTTTCATAACATGAAAATATGGAATCCAACTTTATAGAAACCCTCTAATTCATAATCTTTAGTTTATTTTGGAATGAGAATAGGATTCGGTCTCATAATAATATAGGGTTTGTGAAGAAACGGAATCCGAAAAAAAAGAGGGCGAATATTACAGGTGTGTCAGCTTTTTACCCCAAATCCTCCCAAATCATTAGGATTTGGGTTTCGATAAAATCACCATAATTTTTCATCTTTATAGATTTTGAAATCTATAAATTTGTTGAGAATGAAACTTAAGATTGGGATTGATAAAGAATCCTTTATTTACGATTTTACCCCTGTCAACTCCAAATCCTATTCTTTTTCCATAAAATGAGTGAGCCAAACACCCCTTATACAACTAAACATGAAAGTCCTCCATTCTCTATATTAAGAATTGGAGACCCTATTATTTGGCACTCTTTCTTTATTAAAAAAAAGGGCGCTTGACGGGGAAAAAATAATGAAAATACTACAAACATAGCAAATGGAAAAAAAAACTTTGGCGAGAAGTGATATTCAATTTTCTTAAAACAATACTTGCTCGCTAAATTTACCTCCTAAAGAAGTAAAATATCTAAAGAAAACTTCGGAAAATCAATATGGATGTTCCACAAGCTCATAGAAAGGGTGCAGAGCGCTACTTTCTATGAAGCTCGTAATGATATTTTTTTATCCCATCCCACACACCAAAAGCAAATAACAAAAACAGAATGAAGAGGCTACACAATCTAATAATAAAGACTTCATCATCAGATAATAAACTAGAGAACCTAGACAACCAAACGAAACCAAGAGAGCCATCCTCTCAAATGAAAGAGAAAGGGAGAACAAGTAAAAAGAGGGATTGTGACCCACAAAGTACGTACGTTTATATAGTAGAGGACCAAGAGGTTTATATAGTAGCATAATCTCTACAGGGTGCTAAATGAAAGAATTAATGAATGTCATATCTTCACTAATGTGATGGTTTATGTAGTACAGGACCAAGATTTCAGTAGAGTATCAGGACTGGAATCTAATCCCAATAAATGCTCTATATACATGAGTGGTATTGGTGAAAGTTTGAAGCATCAAATCTGCTCATACCTAAGCTTTTCTGAAGGTGTATTGCCTGTAAGGTATCTGGGTATGCCTCTCATAACAAAAAGGTTATCTTGGATGGACTGTTCTCCCCTAATCAAGAAAATCTCTGAGCAATTTCAAAACTGGCAAAAGAAGAGGACTTTATCATATGCTGGAAGGCTTCAATCTGTCATTTTGGGTATTCACATCTACTGGACAAATAATTACATCTTACCTTGTAAAATCCTAAGCAAAATTGATAAGATGTGTTCAGACTTCCTCTGGAATCATAAAATTCCTTTGGTCTCCTGGACAAAGATTTGTCAAGAGGAAAAGTTTGGAGGATTGGGTGTGTTCTCAGCTAGAATATGGAATTATGCAGCTGCTCTTAGATTGCTGTGGATGATCCATCTTAAGAAGGACCTCTTATGGATTAAATGGGTTCATGAGAACTATTTATAGTCAAACAATATCTGGCAGATTAAAATCAAGCAAAATGCCTCTTGGATGTGGAGACAGCTTTTAAAAGCTAGGAATGTGCTGATTACAAGATTTGGGGATATCAATAACTTGCTAAATATAACTGGTAAAATCTGTGCTGGTGGAAAATTAAAAGTATCCTCTGTTTACAGGTTTCTTACTCAATCTGCTCATCAAGTTAAATGGGCCAGTACTGTTTGGAATGCTATTCATTATCCAAAAATTCATTCATCTTATGGCTAGCTGCTCATTCAAGATTATTAACCCAAGATAGATTATGTCGGATGAAGATCCTCAACACAAACCAATGCGTGCTGTGTTCAGGTCATCAGGAAACTGGACGTCACCTATTTTTTGGATGCCAATTCTCAGCTGCTGTTTGGAATTTGGCAATGGAATGGTTGAACTTCAAATGGAAGTCATGTGATTGGGACATTATTATCGACTGGTATAGCTCTAAGCTTAAGAGAAGGAGTTTCTGGGAAAACTTGAAGCGGATGATATTTGCTGCTTTAGTGTATTTTATCTGGCAAGAAAGGAACCTGAGGATTTTTCAAAGAAAATATAAACAGGTTGAAGATTTGTTCAGTGCAATCAAGTTCTCAATCCTTGCAAAGATCATGAATGAAGATTACCCAGCTCATATAAAAGATAGAATCAGAGTATTATAACTCAGGTGCATGTATATGTGTGCATGTTTTATAAATGCGCACATTGCATTTTTTTGAGTTTCAGTCTAACTGACTTTGTCTGATGTATATAAATTCTCACTTGGTAAATGAATACAAATTTTTCATTGACCAAAAAAAAAAGAGGTCCATAGTGAGAAACAGTAGCATGCATGAGCCTGTATCACAAATAATTAGTCCATATTCAGCATGCGTTGTAACGTGCTCCTGAAGATTAGCCCATGTGGCTAAGTCTTCGGAGCGATTACAACTAAATCTCATGTGGACGACGAGTCTCGTCTTTGATTGACACGGAGTTCGTCAAATTGGACGAGCCTCGATACGCAGCGAGATTCGTCTTATAATGCAAACTTTGCAGTAAGCGAGCTTCTTCTGACGAATTTTGTCTTCACTGACTTCGTCTGACGAACTTCGTCTTCACTAACGAACTTCGTCTTCGATAGATGAGTTCAACTGCGTAGCAAATCTGGTGGATTTCCCTTAGACGAACTTCGTCTTCACTAACGAGCTTCAAGTCTGACGATGAGCTTTGTCTTCACTGACGAACCTCATCTTCCAAAGATGAATGTCGAACCTCGTTTCCAATGACAAGCTTCACTTTTGTTGTTGAGCTTTGCTGCATGGCGAGTTCCGTTTGGGAAGTGGATCTTTGCTGAGCAACGAGCCTCGTCTTGGATTGAGACGAGGTCCGTTTTCTTGACGACCCTCCTCATATTTTGAATTTAGGCATTTTTGAATACCTCCATCAGCAAACCTCTTTCTGCCTTCATTAATAGTGGTTGCTTTGTTGTATAAAATTTCACCATCATCTGACGTGTTGACAATGCATCCTTGAGATGTTGATGGCTCTAAAGACTTTTTATCACCACTCTTCTTATTGTGCCAACACTCCAATTTTACGTGCCCCCTTTTGCCACACTTGTAGCATTTGATATTCTTCTTACTTTTCAATTTTAATCTACCATAAATATGATTCCCACTAGAGCCACGTTCCGTTGATTTTTCTCTCGTTACCGATAAGGCCTTCACTTGTTGCGAACTAGTCTGTCAATCTTCCTTGTTCTTGCGCCGGTTTTCTTCTTCCAAAACAACGGCAGCAACGTTGTCAAAGACTAGATTGTCCATGAGGATGTTGTTTGTTAGGTTGATGATGAGTTGATCATAAAAGTCAGGTAGACTCTGAAGTAGAACTTTTGCACGTTCATTCACACCGATTGTATGCCCCAACGTTGTGAGTTAGGAGAACAGTGTGTTTAGGGTGTTGATGTGGTCGGTCATCGATATAAATTCCGCCATCCTCGGAGTGTAAAGTCTCATTTTAAGAAGATTTTATTGTGTAGGGATTTTGCCTCATATAGTTTTGTTAGAGTGTCTCAGATCTCCTTTGCTGTCTTCTTCTCGTCTATGCTTGACAGCACGTCATCTTCTAATGCCAGATGGAGATTTGCAATAGCATTTCCGTCCATCTCGTTCCACTTTTTATCATCTATGATGTTATCTGGCTTTGCATCGATGGCCGCTAGGTAATTATCTTTTCTCAAGATAGCATTTATCTTCAACTTCCACAGTGAGAAATTACTTCCGTTGAATTTCTCGATCTCGAACTTCGCCGCCATTACTTCTACCACGAACAGTAACTTCTGACTATTTCACGTAAACAATAATTATATTTGCGAACAGTAATTGTATCCGTGAATAGCACTGTACTTGTGAATAGTATCATATTTATGAACAATACCGTACTCATGAATAGTGTCCGTCACTTTCGAGTAAATGATAATCTAACTTATTTTCTGATGTGGAGGATCCTACTTTGGTGGCAGCCACAGAGCATACGATAAGTAGATACATGCACTCTAAACCATACTCTGATATCACTTGTTGGGACAAACCCGGGGCCTAATAGAGCAAAGTCTCAGCAAATAGTAGAGATAAAAAGAACACACAGATTTACGTGGAAAGCCCCCTAAATGAATTTGGGGTAAAAAACATGGGTAGTGATAGAAGAATCCACTATGAGAAAAAACTTTAGAGTTACAATCTCTCTTTTACAAGGAGAAACTCTCTATTTTTTTCTCACACTTTTCTATATGTGGAATTGTTTTTGGGATGAATTTTTCATGAAGAGTTTTGGGCATAATATTTATAGCGGCTAGAAAAATACTATTCCTAATTTTATAATAACTTTTTACTGTGCGCTTTTCCTCAATTCAAACCTTTCTGCTACTTTCAGTGATGGTGGGGCCTACTCTTTTTTTTTCAAACACACTACCTTTGATTAACCAGAGAAAAATGTTCAAGATTCCGCAAGATGGTTGTTCAGAATAGAGTACATCGAGGGTAAATTTTACACAAGCCCCATGATTTTGGGTGAGTTGCACACAAGCCCCCTGTACTTTGGGAAGTTTCACAAAATTCATCTGAACCACGAAAAAGTTCTCCGCGAGCCATGCTAATGGTTAGCCAAAATGACAACAATACCCTCTAAAATGGCTTTGAGAAATTTTTATTTGGGTAAAAGAGCAAAATTGTCTGTTTTCATCTAGTTAGTGCGCATAAGCCATCAAAACTTAACGGTGTTAGCCATGATAGCAAAATGAGACTAGTTTAGAAAGATTTTCTCTAATTTTCAATATCCATCGGAGTTTTGTGCAATTCATCCCAAAGTTATCCAAGGTTTTGTGAAATTTAGATTTAATTACTAATACCAAGTTGATAATATGATAATAAATAAACCAAAAAAATTATCCTTCTTTTCCTTCTCCCTTCGTTGTCTAAGAAGTAAGTGAAAAATTCAGCATTCTTATAATAATAGTCATTTTCAAGATCGATTATAATTATACTGGAAAATTATTCACTAACGGAAATAAGCTATGAAAATATATAAATTAGGGCATCGTGTGAGCATGAAAAAAATAATAAATATATATTTATCATATTATCCTATCAAAGATACCCCACTTTCACAAAAATATCCCTCATTATTATCCCACTAAGGGCCCGTTTGGATAATGGAAGTATTAGAAGTAAGAAGTAGGTTATAGAAGTAACTTTCAAAGCTATGAAGTAGGAAGTAGTGGAAATAACATTTTTTTTGTTTGTTTCATATATTTTTAGAAGTAATGGAAGTAGAACTTCTTCCTCTTCATTTACATTTTTTGTTTGGATAACATTTGGAAATATTATTAGGAAGTAATTTTATCAATGAAAAGTTGTTAGAAGTAACTAATAAAGGAAATATTAATAAAAAAAATTATTTATGTCATAATTAATATGCATTTCAACTACTTCCGAGCTACTTCTGAGTATTGAGGATTGGAAAAATATTTTGAAAGTAAGGATGACACGTAGACGCCACATAAGCATTTAGGGAAGTATTGAAAGTAGGTTTTTCAGAGAACCAAACACACTTTTTTGCTTGGAAGTAGCATAAATAGCATTTACTTCTTTTACTTCAGCTACTTCACAATTACTTCCGTGCAAACAAACATGCCCTAAGAATAATACCCCAGTAATTATCCCAGTTTAGGGGAGCTAATCCTCACACATTAGATTGGATCCTATCTCACCCCTCCAAAAAAAAAAAACAGAGGTCAATGCTGTGCTCAAGCTAAACTGTAAACTCTTCTCTTTCCAATTTTTCCTCTTTTTCTGTAAATTAATCGAGAAAAAAAATGGAACCAAATCCTCTCATGACTCCCTACAAAATGGGCAGATTCCAACTCTCTCACAGGTAATAAATCTACTCTTATGATTCGAAAGTTGCCATATTGTTGCAGTTTTTGTAGGAATCTCGTAGACACCATTTTATTTAATGAACTGAGTAAATGCAGACGGAATTGATCAGTTGAGCCGTGAAACAAAAAACCCAATTGGTAGCATTGATACAAATTTCTTAGGGTAGCATTGATTTCTGTTTCTTTTCAGATTTTATGTTAAAACCCATCCGTGCTTTTAAGATGACTGATGAAATGCCAAAATGAAGTTGGAAATAGCCGTTCTTAATGGCTGGATTCATGTTTTTCCATATGAGATTTGTGTTTACTTTTAAATTTCGACTTCGATACAAATAAAGGAAGGCATCAAACAAGAAGACTACCTGACAACCCGAGTATCAGCGTAAAAAACTCATTGCAACTCTCATAACAAAAGAATGATGCCATGTTGTTGATGTTCTCGGATCTAAGATGGTTTGGCACTCAATGCTACAGGGTAGTTCATGCGCCACTGACACGGCAGAGGTCATTTGACAACATCCCACAACCACATGCCATCTTATATCACTCCCAGAGAGCCTCTGAAGGTGGACTTTTGATAGCCGAAGCCACTGGGATTTCAAACACTGCTCACGGGTATGTTTTGTGAAACACTAAAACACTGAATTGTTTCCCTTTTTTTGAGATATCGGTCTCCAGAAGATAGGTAATTTGAAGCAGGTCTGATATTACAATATAAATTCCCGAAATCCTTCAAGTTAGAGCAAATAGGTTGAAATTAGTATTTTATGTTAAACTCTAACTTGGGTCTAGCTAACAAACCAATAATCCTGATCAAGTTCTCCCTCTCTAACATGAGCAGCAGCGGACGTCGCGACACTGACTGAAAGTGACAGTGGGGCAGGCGGCGGTGGCTGTCTGTGGGCGGCAGTGGCCCATAACGACAGCAACCAAGGGCACATTAGGAATAACAAACGGCTGTTGGGTCACTATAGATTAAATTTAAAACCACAGAGCTTAAGAAGAGGACCTATTTAGTACAACGAAAAGACTTGAGGGACTTATATGAAAATATCAACATATGATTGACTTGTTTCAAATTATGTATCTTATGGGGGACCAATATCATAAAAAACCATCTTTTAATTCACTGAACATCTCATACTTTCTAGTTAACAAAATTATTGAACCAGTTGCCAATCGCTACAGTATTGAGTTAACTTGCGAATTTGTTGTGACTAACAGGTACCCCAATACCCCTGGTGTTTGGACAAAAGAGCAAGTGGAAGCGTGGAAACCTATTGTGGACGCAGTTCATGAGAAGGGGGGCATTTTCTTTTGCCAGATTTGGCATGCGGGAAGAGTTTCTAATTGTGGTAACTTCTCTTCGAACTGTGTAACATCGTCATTTATAATTTGTTGGATTCATTAGAACTAAGTTATTTCATGGGACAAGGATAAATCACGTTCTTGGATATCTGTATATAGTAATGTAATGTGAAAACTGCTAGTAGTTGATAACGATGCATTGCAATGTTGAAGTATGTCTCTTGCATTTAGTCAAACATGGAAAGTAACTGGGAAATATGCAAATCCATGTGGAAGAATTTTACACAACCAAGATATTCTTCAGGTCAATGCATGAGTTAAAGCTCTTTGACAAGTTTTATTGTTTCATGTAGAATTTCAGCCAAATGTCCAAGCTCCAATCTCAAGTACGGATAAGCCTCTGGCACCTCAGATGAGATCCAATGGTGTGGATGTTGCACTGTTCTCGCCTCCACATCGTTTAACAACAAAAGAGATACCTCAGATAGTTGATGATTTTAGAGTTGCTGCAAGAAATGCCATTGAAGCAGGTAAGAGTCTTTCTGCACACCCCCTAGTTTGAGTTGGCCTTCAATTTTCTACGTGGAAAGTCAATAACTGTGATATCCCATTTAGTCCTACGTGGGAATTCATGAAATCTGGAAATGAGTCTATAAGATAGGTCATGGGAGTCAAGTTCAACAAAGACTAGTCATTTTTTACTATAGTTTGAGCCAAACAATATGTTGTACTCCGTGGTCCTTGGGGTACGACATGCCAACAAGCTCGAAGGCTCATGGTGTGACAAATGGTATTAGGCGCAGTTAGCCAATTGAAATATTACTAAGTGTTATGCGAGACTAGGTGCTACATCATGTGAGCGCGGTGAGAGCCACCATGAGAACTTGTAGGAGCCACCTCTAGAGTCCACATTATGTGCCGGTGATCCTAAAATAGACTATTGTCACGCCATGACAAGGGCATCATGTACTTGAGGTGGGACGATTGTGATACCCCATTTAGTCCCACACTAGGAATTCAAGAAAATACAAATGTGTTTTTAAGACGAGTCATCTAGTTCAAGTCTAGCAGTGATTAGTCATTTTGGTAGTGGTTTGGATCGACCAACATCTTGTGCTCATTGGGTTTTAAGGCTTACGTCGCAAAAACGGGCTTGCAGGTCCGGGGTGTGATAAGACTGACATTGAAGATAATGATAGCGTAAAGCTCGGTTTCTCAATAGCTACAGTGCATGTAGTATAACGCATAGTGTCGGTTACATGTTTTGCTATTTTTAGTTTTTAAATATGAACTATGCATAATAATTTTATAAATAGGAATATTATTCCAAAATATAAAATTAATTTTTAATTGAAAAAAATCTGACATTTAGTACAGACTACTAGTTTACTAACAAGTACCATGAGAAAAATTCAAGTATATTGTCGCAAAATTTACTTATCTCTCCAATAATTTCATGTTTACTTAATGCTTTACAAACCATAAGTTGACAATCACAACCAAAATGATGTCACCAAATATCAATCACGATAATGAAAGAAGCTTAACAAACAATTAAAAAAACAAATACTTTCAATTGTAAACAAAGAAAACCCTTTCAAGTCTCTGATATTATATTAGAATAGCGAATATTACATTGAATAGCGAATATTACATTGAAATAGTGCTTGTTATATTGAAATAGTATATCTATATGCTATATTATAACATCGTAGAATTAAGAAGCATGTGCACTATTTCGAAATGCTATGTTGTATTGAAATAATGTGTGTTATAGTGAAATACATACATTATATTGAAATAGCGTATGCTATATTGTAATAGCATAGCATTATGAAGTGTGTGCAGTATTTCAAAATGATATGTTGTATTTGAGGTTTGCTATGTTACATACAGCAAAATAACGAGTTATGTAGTGTGTATTTTCAACATTGATCAACAGTAATAGTGTTTCTAGTTCCATGAGCTCTTCACCAAGCTAAATCAGCTTCTAACACAAAGGTCACTCCTGAGAATGTGACCTGCTGTTTTAATGACTGGAATAATTCTACTATCTTGTTGTAAATGGGAATCATGAGCCACCTGAGAATTCTGTTCATATCTTTGTTTTCCAATTCTACTTTAAGGTTCTATTCTTAGTTAAAAAATGACTATTCTATCATCAAGAAATTGAAGCTATGCAGAAAAAATTAAATAAATAAAAGGATAGGGTCAAACTGAGCAGGGGCCTGGTATATCATTCCAATTCCTTCCCAAAATCAAATTTAGAAGCAGGGATAATGTCCAGGACGTCAGTATCAGATAGTTCTTCTCGATATGGCTGGCCATCCTTGCTTCCTTCATATTTTTGTTCTTTTCCACACATCACATTTGACCTGAATTCAACCTGAGATATAATAGATTCATAGGGTTATTATTCCAAGTAAAAATATCTCCCTTTGTCCAACCATCATTTTAGGACAAATACAGTTTCCTCTGGCAACTTTTTGGTTTTTGCCGGGGTATAGAGGATACTTTCCCTAGCTGAAAATTGGTGGCTCAGGCATCGTTAGATATGACAATCACATGTCCAATACCCGCAAATGTTAAGTATTTGTTCATCTTATGTTTTTCTCTTAGCAAATGTTACTTTTTTTGGATTGTCTTAGGCTCTTTCATATGCAAATACAAATCAAACACATAATTTTATGGGGTATTTAGTTTATAGATTTGATGGATTACTTGTTCTTCAATAAATAAACTATACATTAATGTGCCATTAGCGTAAATGTTGAATTAATAATTTTTATTTTGTTCCTTCTGCTATTTCCTATGGTTTCTAGGCTTTGATGGAGTTGAGATCCATGGTGCTCATGGGTACTTGATCGACCAATTCCTAAAGGACCATGTCAATGATCGGACAGACAAATATGGTGGAACCCTGCAGAATCGTTGTCGCTTTGCGTTAGAAGTAGTCGAAGCGGTTGTCAATGAAATTGGAGCTGATAGGGTTGGATTAAGGCTCTCTCCATATGCAAACTACAGTGAGTCTGGAGACTCAAACCCAGAAGCCCTCGGTCTTCACATGGCCAACTCTTTGAACAAATTTGGTCTCTGTTACTGCCACATGGTGGAGCCTAGGATGATTAAAGTTGGAGAAAAGGTGGAGACTCCTCACTCTCTTCTTCCCATGAGGAAAGCTTTTAAAGGGACGTTCATGGTTGCTGGTGGCTATGATAGAGAAGAAGGCAATAAGGTGATCTCCAGTGGTTATGCGGATCTTGTTGCTTATGGTCGCTGGTTTTTGGCTAATCCCGACCTTCCCCGAAGATTAGAGTTGAATGCCCCTCTCAACAGGTACAATAGAAATACCTTCTACACTGAAGATCCTGTAGTTGGATACACAGACTATCCATTTCTTGATTCTAGTAATTAGATCACATTAAACATTATGTTATTTCTTTCATGGTGTTGCTTACTTGCTTATTATATGGCCTGATGGCACTATAGGTTGTTTCTTCTGATTATTTGTAGTTTCTCTATGCTATTTGAATAGCTTTGTGAGTTGGAACTTTCTTGAGATTGTTAGTTCTAATTGCAGCATGTGAAGACTTTCATCTGTTTTCTTTTGAAGCTTTGGAGATTCTATTTCTTCAATTGATGTATTGCTTGAGTTCTGAAAGCAGTATATATCTTTCTGTATATATCTTTCTGAGGATTTCCTTTGTGCACTGCCTTCTGTAGTCCCTAGAGGGACTGATTTTATGCATGATTGTGCTTTTCTTGTTCCTACTAGTATTTTTGTTTATAGTTTATAGCAATTTTAAGTTCCAGATATCAATTATTTTTGGATTCTTGTGCAATTATCAAATATCTTATCCATTATATGACATTTTCTTTGAGAGGCGCAGAAACTGAATAGTATTGAGATGACAGGTTTGTGTGTTTGCTTTCTATGTTTTGTGTGTTTTAGCTCAGGAGCCTGATGACCATAATTCTGTAAGTAATACTGAGTGCAAGAGATTTATTTATTTATTTATCTTTATCTACTTGTAATTCCCATGTTTATTACATTAAGATAGGTTCTTAGGACTAATCTAAGCTAGCAAATTTGTGCTGATAATATGTTTGTTTCCGTGGTGGTATTAATTGTGAGGCAAATCCCAGTGGTAAGTTCATAAAATTTGAGATTAAGAGAATAAAAATAGAGGACAAAAGAAATTACCTTTCTGAGGACTAAGGAAAAAATTCGTAACACCACAAGAACAAATCATGGGATGCAGGCAAAGTGAAACAATTCTGCAGGTGATGTTAAAACTTATCTCTCCATTATACCAACTTTGTAGACAACGGCCTGAAGAAAGAGAATCATACATAGATGCGCAGGAGAAAAAGAAAATTTATATAAAGATACAACCAAAATGATTCAAAAGCCAGCCTCAGGTAATATGTTAACTTATTTTCTATAAAGATACAACCAAAATGATTCAAAAGCCAGCCTCAGGTAATATGTTAACTTTATTACCCTGCACCGAGTACTAAACAATAGCAAAGAAGCCAGACAGGTAATATGTTCACTTTATTACCCTGTCTGCGGCCATTATCTGCAATATTTGATGCCCATTTGACATTGGTTGGAGATTTAAAAAAGATATTAAAAAGAAACAATTGCTTAATTATAGTATTGATTTTGGAGTTTGTATATTTTGTGGTAACTGTGTCGAGTATTGTCTAACAAACTATTTATCGTTGATGTTATTCTTTCTGTCTTTATTTAAGGAAAAAGGGGGATCAAAAAGATATTAAGACAACAAACCCGACAAACAGAAAACTTTCAGGAAAAATTATACTCAACTTGTTTCAAACCACACTTAACACTCTAATCTAACCCTAATTACCCTTGGATCAAGGGGATATTAAGATATTTTACAAACCCAAAATGAGTTACCTAATCCATGTTCTTTCCCTTTCGTAGTTCCAAATTAGATGCTAATATGATTAGCTTTGGTACATTCCCTCATTATCAAATTTGACTTATGTGAAGGAGATGATTGGTCCAAATTATTTATGATTATTCTGGATTAAGTCTCTCTTTTCAAAAGCTCAGATCACTGTCTAGGATATGGTTGGTCTAGGTTCCTTCACTATTAGCAATACAAATCTGAACTTTTGAAAAGACCGATCGAGTATATTAAGGTTCTAGGTTCCTTCACTATTAACAATAACATTCATACTGGTAACATAACCATAATAATAAGAACATAATTTAAACTTTTTCTTTCAAACGCAGAGGTTTTAAATTTAGCCCTTGATCTGTGGACATTCTCAAACCTGATGCATATCTAAGTTGGAGTCTAAAAAACTAAACCCAGATTAAGAAATTGGTTCCCCCTATTGAATCTGATAATTATATGCATAAAATTGTGCTAGAAGGCACTTCTCATAATTTAAAAAAATAAAAAACTGTAACTGGTTTATCTTAAAATGATATTATGTTCTGGCTTATTTCTCTTTTTCATCTAAGTTGAGCAATTATCGCATTAATAAGGCCTTCTGAGTTGTTACTTAGTGAAGAAATTTATTGTTGGTGGAAAGTTATTGGTGTTCAGGTATATGTTTCCTTCAGAAAAGTTGCTGTATCTTTTAATAGCTTAAGCCTCTTTATTGGATTCTTTTGTGTATGGAATCTATTTGTACTACATGGGTTATTTTCTTTTTAATGGACACTAGCAACCCTTTTGACAATCTCCCAACACTTTCTTACATTAGTACTTCAATCAGTATGATCTACTTCCTAACCCAACATATGATGTTTTTATGAGAATCTGAAAAGCCTGAAACCGTTAATCAACAAGGATCATTCCACTGAAGGGCTGGAAACCAAAGCTGTACATCAAATTTCAAGTACTGCAAATATTGTCCAGACTGTTAAAGAATATATGAATTACCAATGGAAAAAACGAAATGATTTACCAGCAATATTTACATTGTCCATATGATTCTATGTTATAAACTGACTATGAAATGGTTTTTAAGTCACCTCCAGAGGGATATACACAGATAATTTTATTCACTTCGAAAACGTACATGGATACACGTTACGATAAGTGGGAAAAAACTAATAGAACATGATATATGGTTGCAAAAGCCTAAACCGCACATGGATTCTGAGGAAAAATAAGCGTTAAATACAACATTTTAGTAACCATCGTCATATTTATAAGAGCTAGCAGAATCTGCAGATTAGTTTGTTGAAAAGATAATATAATTGATGGATATTAGAGGGGTTTTTATGTGAATGTGGGTGTAAGGCTATATAAGCCATATTATTCTATCAATGAAAACTAACCCTAAAAACCCAATTCTTTTCATGGTATCAGAGCCGCCGCCATTCCCTACCTCTTCTTCCTTCGAGGCGCTGCCAACCCGAGCCATCTGTCCTTCGAAACCCTAGTCGTCCTTCCCCATATGCTCCCTCTTCTTCGAACTTCTCCCTCTTCTTAGACCTGCTGCAACGGGTGTTCTACGGGAGCAACGAAGGGAAGGAGGCGCTCGTGGTGCTGTGCGGGGACGAGTACCACAGAGGATGATGAAACTCGGTGGTTGAGCAAGGGATCGGAGAGAAGCGGATGGGGTCGAGCCTGAGATCGACAATCAAGGAGCTGAAGAGGAGGAGTAGAGCTTCGGTGGTCGGGAGAGGGGTGATTGGGCTGCGGTGGTTGGTAGGGGCGGTAGATGGTGAACCCGACGTGAAGAGGGGGTGACTGGACTACGACAAGTCGAAGGAGCCTGAGTTTCGGTGGTTTGTTTTTTTTAAACAGTGTGTTTAATTTCGTTTTATTTTGGGTGGCCAATGTTGTGGGTAGTCTTTGGTAAACTTAATGATGAGATAGGGGTCTGTATGGAAATCTCATATGTTTTGCCTATGTCTGTTGACAATATTTGAAGTTGTAATAGCTTGTTTAGGTTCCATCGACAAGTCAATCCTAGAACTGATGAGAAGAAGAGCTGATATCTCACTTGGTTGAGATATCCTGCTTCTGGTTCTTGTTTCCTTGGTGAAACAGGAATTACTTGGTTGAGATATCCTGCTTCTGGTTCTTGTTTCCTTGGTGAAACAGGAATTCTTGTTGATCTATCTCTCTTGTGGTGCTGTCGATGAAACAGGAATTCTTGTTGATCTATCTCTCTTGTGGTGCTGTCGAAGTGCTGCCGAAATTTTCACTGCGCACAAGAATACAAGTTGGATCGATGACGAAGATTGGCAGAAATCCGATGGAGGGGATCATCAAAAAGTTGAATCCTGAGGAGATCTCAACACTGATGCAACTGATGAGGTTGTCGACGGGAGAGAGCTCGACAAAGCCACAACCCAAGAAGGTAGAGCTTTCACCTATCGATGTAAAACTTGATGAACCCGCGAAATATCTGAGTTGGTCGCGCCGGGTAAAATATACCCTTACCGGGAGGAGCCTAGAGGGATACCTGACAAGGAAGAAGACTGAGCTGGCTGATGGCTCAGCAGGGAGAGATGAGTGGAAGTCCACTCATATATTGGTGTACATCTGGTTTCTGAATTCTATAGTCCAGCCAATTGCTGCCACAGTGGATAGCCTTGGGAGGGTGCATGATGTCTGGGAGAAGCTGAGGAGGACCTATGATGGGGTAGGGAATAACCTGAGGGTATTCCAGATCGAGAAGGAGATCAGCGCTACAGTCTAGGGAGAGAGGACTGTACAGGAGTACGCCACAGAGCTAGAACGTTTGTGGCTCGATCACGATCACTTCTCGTCCCTAGCAAGCTGTAAAGACCCGGAGTGCAAGGAGCGCGAGGCCTCCTTACAGAAGAGGACCATGTTGTTTCTCCGAGGCTTGGCTCCAGCATATGAGCAGAGGACGGCGTTGCTACTAACTCAGACGAAGATCCCACCACTGGAGGAGGCAGTCTCAGCCATGATACAAGAGGAGAGCCGTATCAGGCTACAGGCTGGGACAGGTGGACTTACAGGGGAAAAATCTGCACTGGTGGTATCCAACCCGGATAACACTGGATTCAGAGGGGAGACTAGACAGTGCTTCAACTGCGAAGAGGTAGGGCATCTGAGACAGATATGTCCTAAGCCACCCAGAGAGAGGGACTGGGGTGGACTTGGTCAGGCTGGAGGCTGTGGTCGTGGCTGTGGAGGCAGGCGAGGTAGAAGAGGAGGTCACCGAGCAAACTTGACAGTGGCAGAAAGAGAAGAAGAAGCTGAGATGATCTTCACTGCTGAGGATCATGCACTCTTGGCAGCACTGAGGAGGAAGCAGAGAGTAGTAGGTGATGTGTCTGAGGGGGCATCTACTACTCTCTCTGGAGG